GCATGTGATGCTATCATCTTCATTTAGCTAGCTGTATGTTTTTGTTCTGTTATATATGCACGTATGATCATCACGCACAAAACGTGACACATTATTTGATGTCTCATATTGTCTTGGGCAATCGCAAAGAATTATGGTGCTTTCTTGGAGAAGGATGGAGCTGGATTTAGAGGGCAAGTAAAACTCACTGGATTGCCAAATGGGGACATTGACCTGACTCATTCCGTTTGGACATATCAGGTAAAGCATTGGAATTTTCAGCCACACTTCTACCTTGTTCACACTTTGATGCAGGCGTGCAGACTTTGCATTGAGTATCATAGGTGCTATTTTCAGGGTCTCCCTTAGGTCCTGGAACTTTAATCATCATCTGTGTCCCGGAAGTGCAATTACTCATGCTAGGTGCTAGAATGCACTTCCGGGATCCAGATGACGATCTTTAAAGTTACAGGGCCTCGTGAGACTCCGAAAATAGTTTGACAACCTACATGACGCACATGACAAGGTACTAGATTGTTAAAGGTACTAGAATACTGTACTAGTATTCTTCTGACACACATGACAAGTAGTCCAAAACCATCTATATCGTTAGACCGAATTTACTGGTTAACTACTGAAAATATAGCCAAAAAATTACAGCTTAATTTGGTAGTGAAACTGCTACGGTTCTTCCATGTTTTGTTCTCCACCAAAGGAAATGTTGCATACAGTATCTCTCACCATGTGTTCTTTACCTAGTATTGTTCCAGGTAAGCTTCTGGAGTTGCCATGGACTTAAAATATTTTATCCTGATTTGAGCATACCATGCACATTAAGATGTATATTTGAAATGCAGGTGGGGCTGAAAGGTGAGTTTTCTATGATTTATGCTCCTGAGAAGCAGGCATGTGCTGAGTGGAGTGGCATGCAGATTGACGATATACTGTCACCCTTTACATGGTACAAGGTAAGTTGACTTTCACCTCCATAAACTTGCCATTATATACGGCTGAGGTATTGTATTAGTTCCTTTAGTGCTTTCCATCATTTCTAGCGCTAGCATGGACTTGTCTTTGATATAACTTTTACCTACCCAGGTCAAGCCAATCTTTATCTAATCCATCAAATTTATTTTCAGATTTTACTGCAAGATCATGCAATCTGCACATTGGTTGTCTCTTAACTACTGTTTTCTATATGCAGACTATGTTTGATGCCCCTAAAGGTACCGACCCTGTCGCCATCTATCTTGGGAGCATGGGGAAGGGCCAGGCTTGGGTGAATGGGCATCTAATTGGGCGCTACTGGTCACTAGTAGCGCCAGAATCTGGGTGCTCATCTTCATGCAACTACCCGGGAGCGTATAGTGAGAGCAAATGTCAATCAAACTGTGGAATGCCGACCCAAAGCTGGTATTAAGATTTTAGTATAATTCATTGCATGGTGCCGGGTTTCTCTTCTATATTTGTCTATTCTTTATGTCTATATTTATCATATCTGTAGTGTAAGCATTACATGCAGATAAGCCACAAACTGGAACTCTAAAGTGATGATACAATATTGATAGACATAGGACTAGTCAAGGAATTTCATCATATTTTTAGTTACATAAAATAAACTCCCTCCATCCCTATTTACATACCGTGCATGTATTTTGAGATTCGGCGTTGACCATCAATTTGACCAAGAAAACATGGTTTATGTATCACAAAACTTATACCATTCAATTTGTACTGAAATGTAGTTCCCTTGGACGCTTGGGCCGGTGATATGGTCAGGATACGCCTGTATGCGATCCTCCTCCGAGTGGGTACACTTACTCACCGACAAATCCCGTCCCAGCAATTCTGTACACAGCAGGGCTGCCCGAGGGTGTTCGCGTCGATGTCGAGCTTCAGTAACCATCCGACCTCCACAACGCCACCTCCTTTCCCAAGGTCCGTCACGAGAGGCATTTCCCTCCATCGACATCACCACACTAGCCTTCTGGACCCACGGGACCCTTGTGCCCCTCCACTCCTCCTGCAGTAAACACAACTCCGACGCCTTCCCCCCTAGCACCACTAGCAACTGTTTTGCGCCTCATGTAGCTCGGCACCATGGCAAGTTTGGCACCTCACCCCAGCTGAGTTGGCAGAACGTCATCGTCAGGGTCTTTGCTTCAACTGTGACGAGATTTTATCCACACAAAAGAAAACTGTGACGAAATTTGTGTTCCGGGGTTACTGGTGAGCGTGGCGCCCAAGGTCTCCTGGGAGTCAATTGAAAAGGTTGCTGCTCCACAAGCTGGTTATTTTATCTACTACATAATGGGGCGACCCTCTCAACAGAGAAGAACATCATCGTTTATTTTATCTGCTTACAGTGATTAGGCTTGTGCCAGTAGTAGATCCTTCCATAGTCCCTACTGATGGAGTGTGACTAGTCAACTCTAAATTCTTATGATTGCATTCATTTGATAAGATTAATGTGTATTTTTTTATTTCAATGTGTTTTTTTGTTTGGAAAACTAGCCTTTTACTGTCACATAACCATTTTTTATATTCTCAAACCTTGTTATTTCCAACCAGGTACCACATACCACGAGAATGGCTGCAGGAGTCGGACAATCTTCTGGTATTGTTTGAAGAAACAGGGGGTGACCCTTCAAAGATATCACTGGAGGTTCATTATACCAAAACAATCTGCTCAAGGATATCAGAAAGTTATTATCCTCCCCTTTCTGCTTGGTCACGCCTTACCAGTGGTCGTGTCTTGGTTGATACTATAGCACCAGAACTGCGCTTACGGTGTGATGATGGGCATTTGATCACTAAGATTACATTTGCGAGCTACGGAACTCCATCAGGTGGTTGCCAGAATTTCTCCGAAGGAAAGTGCCATGCTTTGAGTACTCTTGCCTTGGTATCAGAGGTAAGCTGACAAGTCACGACTGCTAAACCTAGTAAATTTCTTCTGATACTAAATGGACGAATGCGAGAGCACCTTTTTAATTTCACACGCTCATGTGCATCAATCATAAAAAGTGTTAGCAAAATTCTAATGGACGGATGCGAAAGCACCTTTTTAGTTTCCCACGCTCATGTGCATCAATCAGTGTTTGCAAAATTCTTAATAAAGAAGAAAAATGAAAGATTTGGAGGGGTTAATTTACCGTGGTTTCTGAACAACGCAAGGCTAAACTTGATCCCGAAAATGAGAGAAGAGACTCCGAGCAAGTCGGTGATTACACTATATGTTTATTTATTCAGTCTGTTAGATAAGGAACAGATGCATGAACTCTGTTCACTAACTTGATGCAAATCTGAATATCTACCAGATGTCATAACACTTATTATTTTCCTCGTTTCCAGGCGTGCGTGGGCAACAACGAATGCGCAATCAGTGTTTCGAATGATGTGTTTGGTGATCCATGCCGAGGAGTCCTCAAGGATTTGGCAGTTGAGGCTGAGTGCTCGCTGTCATCGGCCACCAAAGAACCTCGAGACGAGATGTGATGCGGGATGCTGGTGACAAACTGGTGTAAGGGAGTGTTTCGCTTGACCCATGGTTGTGCTTGGTGTTGGTGTAAAGATAATCCTACAACTGAAGAAATAAGGACAGGGAAAAGTCCGCATACGTACCCCATTGTACATTGTTTGTTACTGGAGATTGGATTTGATTAATGCTGAACAACACATCGGAAATGATCTCTGTGGGCCGACGCTGCAGTCCTAAACGTGGTGCGAACATTGTAGATTTGATTTCATTAATGAAATCGACAGCCATGACTCTGATCACAAAAACAATAAAATCGATCAGCCATGCAAGAGACTGAAGAAGCTGAAGGATAAAATTCTAGAACTGTATTATATGTTGGGTGAATGAGCTTGAATTGATATATTACTCCCTCCAATTCATATTAATTGATGTTGTCTTAGTGTATTTTTATACTAAAGCAGCATGAATTAATACGGGATCGGAAGGAGTAACTTAAAAAAAAACAGAAACGCTACGTTCCACCCGACTGATAATAGCGCGGGCGTCCACCCCCTGCACCACCTCCACCACCGTTTGATCAGACGATACTTAGCAACCCACACCATAGGCTAACTTCTGCAATACGGCCCTTGTTGCAATTGTTGCAATACAGGTATATCAGACATAATACAGGTCTCAAACACTAAACAATGTCAACACAACGTTTCCCACGATGCCTCATCGCCCGATTCCATCCGGCCGATCGCTGGGAGTGCCGTCGTCGGCGAGGCCTGCGTCCATCGTTGCACCCTGTTCCCTGCCCCCTCCACCTCTCTTCTTCTCGTGTTCGCAACCAACCATGAACTCCGGCCACCACCACCGTCCTTCGGCCGCTCGCCTCCACTACTACCGTCGGCCGTGCGGTGCGCCTGAGCTTGGCACGGCTGCAGCCGACCTCCTCCATGACGTTTTCGACCATCACCGGTCGCCTCCCTGTTGCAATTGCGACGACCGGGTTGCAAGGGGCGACGGCGAACGATGGCGGCGTTTCTGCAACATCATTTCCATTGCAAATTTTTTTGGCAAGATCATTTGTGCTGCAAAATTTCCTTCCGCAAGGACACCCATGTTGCAAAAATGTGAAGCCGAAAAAAATCTGCAACATCATCTATATTTCAAATGGTTTCTGCAACATGAGCTCTACTGCAAAGAGCTCTGCAATACTACATTTGTTACAATGCTGAAGACGATGATAGCGTCAGATCTAACGGCTACCGAGGCGGCAGATTTTTTGAAAAGATCTGTCGGCTGAAGCAGGCCCAAAGAAAAAAAAGGTGATCGGGCATTGCAGGTCTTCTTCATGCTTGAATTGGCTGCGCCTTTCATTAACTGTGAAAACGAAGGAAGCAACGTCGATCGTCCAGACTGCTCAGTCCCAAGTCAAGCCACCGGACCTGACTAATCAAACACTGGAGCCATCAAAATATCTCCGCCACAAGAAAACACTACAAATTCAGCAAACTGGCCAAACGGATCATTAGATTAGAAAGCCATCATCGCCATGGATGATCATCAAGAGGAAGCGCCGGAGAAGGTGAAGCTTTTCGGCATGTGGGCGAGCCCCTACGTCCTCAAGGTAAAATGGGCTCTCAGCATCAAGGGCGTGGAGTACGAGTACGTGGAGGAGGACCTGAGGAACAAGAGCGACGACCTCCTGGAGCACAACCCCGTGCACAAGAAGGTCCCCGTGCTGCTCTACCGCGGCAAACCGGTGGCGGAGTCCGACGTCATCGTCGAGTTCGTCGACGAGGCGTGGAGCTACCGCGGCGGCCGCATCCTCCCCGACGACCCCCACGAGCGCGCCATGGCCCGCTTCTGGGTGAGGTTCGTGCACGACAAGGTCAGCGCAGCGGTTCTCTTTCCTCTGTTCCCAAGTTCGATCCAACTCGGTTAGTTCGTCACAGATGATACGATCTGACTGAGCAATATATTACCACATGCAGCTCTCGCCGCCGATCTGGAAGTGGTTCACGGCGGCGCCAGGCGAGGGCCAGAAGGCCGCGCTGGGGGCCGCCGTGGAGCAGCTGCAGGTCCTGGAGGACTTGCTCGCCCTCGGCGGCAAGGATTTCTTCGCCGGGGAGAGCGTCGGGCTCGTCGACCTGTCGCTCGGCGCGTTGGCGTACGTGATCCCGATGTACGAGGAGATCATCGGCGTGAGGATGGTCACCGAGGAGAGGTTCCCGTCTCTGTCGGCGTGGATGGGGCGGTTCTTGGACTCGCCGCCGGTGAAGGATCACCCGCCGCCAGTGGAGAGGCTGAAACCCAGGTACCGAGCCATGCGCGAAGCCTTTCTGAACATGGGCTAGCTCAAAGGCACTGTCTGCGTCTTCAGTTATGATTAAAGTATAAGAATGCTTGTACTAGCATGATATATACAGTCCTAGCCCGCAAAAAAAAACGATATATATATGGTCCAGTGCATCTTTGTGTTTACATGGCTTGTACTATGATCATTATTGATATAAATGAGACACGTATTCACCACACAAGAAAATGACTCTTGTTTCCGATGAAATTTCAGAAATTCTAATCACCACGGCAGGTACCGAATATACGCATTTCAGGCACAATATTATGGAGACATAAATTTAAGTCAGATTTCAACAGAAACCAAATTTTTGACGCGGCTACTCTGCAACTACATGTATATTGTCATCATTGGAAAAAGAAATAGCCCTGTGACATTTTTTCTCTAAAAAATACTCGTGTAAGAACATCTACAACTGAAATGTCCTAATTTGGGCCCTATAGCGTCCAGTTACCTCTCATTTGGCAACGTCCACAGCCGTCCCCCTTATATCCGAACCTCTAAATCCATGCAACCCCATGCGGCGTGATCAAAATAGCACATAGATAATTCAATATGGCATAGATCAGATTGGACATAGCAGAGTTCAATTTATAGCCGGACATAGCGTGCGAAGTTCACAAAAGATCGGACATAGCATAGCATATTCACAAAAGTTTATCATACGATACATAAATTAGAGCTAGGGGGTGCCGGATTTCACACTTTCCTCGCTGGTCCCTTCCCCTTGCGGTCTTTGGAGCAGCGGTAGTAGTCTTCGACGTACACATCGGTGGACGGAGAGGAATCGTCATCATCGTCAGTGGTTGTGCCGTTGTCGGATGAGGGAGAGGAACGGATCCCGGCTTGACATCGGGCCGTGAGGCGCGAGGTGGGCGGCTTTCTCCGCGGCAGCTGCCTTCTCCTTGGCAATCAGACCACCTTCGCATTTTGTCGTCGACGACGGGGGGCATCTGTCTCCGCCGACATGAAGGAGTGGAGGATGACGTAGTGGAGAAGATCGTCGTTAGAGTCAGTGGGCGGGAGTGGCTCGGGCGTGACACAACCCATAACCGAACCGGTTGGATATGGCTTGTGCCGCCCTCTACCTCGTGCGGCGAGCGGCCCGCACCTTCGACGCGGGGAGCCGCGGTGGGCATAGGGTTGGCGGTGCAACACGAGCACCCAGTGTTGTCCATTAGGAGCAGGGGTTGGAGGTGCGAGCATCATGGAGCTTGAGTTTTTGCCCCTGTCCATCTGCAGCCGATGGAAGGCGAGCTACTTGTCGTCCGAGGCGGAGCTAGATCCCTCCTTAAGGAGCACCTCCCATTCAACAGGGTCGGACTTGTTGTCGAATCCGCTGCCAGAGTTGGCCATGGTAGGAGGAGACGGGACGGGAAGAACACGGCAGGGAAGCAGAGTGGGGCGGTCAAGTGTGTGGAGTATGGACTAGAGTTTGGTTCGGGTGGGGTATATGTGGGATCGGACTGCGCCAGATTGGGCCAGTCCGACGTGGCGGCCACGTTCAGGCACGTCCTGACCGCCTTACATATGGGTTTAGATTTTTTTTTTTAGAACACATATGGGTTAGGTTTGAGGGTGCGAACATCCTAAACATTGGGACGGCTATTAAAGGTCCGATTGAATGGTAAATTTGTGTCCGAACACTGACGGGGCTTCTCTACTTGAACAATAAAGGAACAGTTTGAGGGACGAAAACTCGTAGGGGCACAGAGGTATGGGGCTACGTACCTACCAAACCCTGCCCGGCTGCTTGATTGCCTCGCGATTTATAAAGTAGTTGGATCCCGCATAAGGACATATTAAATACACGGTAAATTTTAAATTTCAGTCATTCGAACTTACCAACTAAAACTTGTGATTTTCTCGTTGGCTCGTACCTAATTTTATACTCCCTCCATTCCAAAATATAGTGCGCCCGTGCTTCCCGAGGTCGAACTTTGACCACAAATTTAACGAACAAGACCGATTGCAGCGGGAGAAAAAATTACATAATTAAAAACTTCTTTCGAATACGAATTCACTGATATAATTTTTGCTCCCGCCGCAATCGGTCTTGGTAATTAAATTTACGGTCAAAGTTGAAGCACGGGGATAGAGGAAGCACTACATTATGGAATGGAGGGAGTAATAAAATTTTAAGACACTTTTTGGTCGGTCGCAGGCACAAAAAAATCGTAATTTTACTGGTTGCTCATATTAAGTTTGAAGAGTTGAAACTTAATATTTATTATTTATTTTTCAAAAAAAATTATTATTTAAAAACCCGAGTTACGAGAAACACGGCATAAAACCAGAAATTAATTTAAACTTTTTATTCAAAAGATATAAAAAATAAAAATTGAAAGTCACAAAATAAAAGCACGGGCGGGACTTGCGTGCCCCGAATCCTCTCCCATTTGAGGTCTCCTTTGGTTTGGAGGAATTTCATAGGAATTCTAGAGGATAGGATTCTTATAGGATTTTTTTCTTAGCCTTTTGGTTCATAGGAATGGATTCCTATTCCTACATAGAATTAGTTCCTATCCTCCACATTTTATAGAAAAATAAAAATGAGCCTAGACTTAATGAAAACAAATGATGTCAACCAAATGACATCTTCTTTTCTATTCCTATTCATAGAATTTAAGATATATGTCATCTCATTTCCTACAAAATTCCTATTTCTAGGATAATACTATCTTATGAACCAAAAAGGCCTGAGTGATTTAGTTGTAGATGAGATGTTCCGTATGGCGAGGATCACTGGAAGTGGATTCCCTGTTGATTGAACAGGCGAGGTGAGGTGATGATTTGCTTCCTTGACCAGATGTTGACCATGCAAGAGCCAAGAAGCACTGTCGCCATGTTCAGCCTGGGGCTGAGGACCCACCCTGTTTTCTTACTCCAACTTCAAGGAGTGGTAACATACTCCCATGATTATAAAATAATTTGCATGCGCACAATGATATTTAATAATGGTGGAAACAGACGCAGCCAGTGTCTCCGAGTTACGAGACATGCCCCGGATATCTGCTTTCCACTCGTTGCCGCCAGTAACCGAGACTAGCCCAGGATGGAAAACTGTTGTGACTTGGCTCAACTTCAACTTATCAAGGCCTGCTCTTTCGAGTTTCAAAAAAAAAGGCCTGCTCTTTCGTGGGTTCTCTTCAGATTTTGATTCAAACTAAGAGAAACTCCAACGGGGGACTTAAACGGACGCACGCTTTGTCAGTTTTTTGTCCGTTTGGATCGATCAGGCGAATGTGCGCATCCGTATTTTAAAATGAGTCGACTTGACCGTCTAACGGAGAGGCCGACACAAATGTGCCGTCGTGGAAAAAAATAAGTTGCACGAAATAAACATAAATAAACATAAAGTGGCCGATCAAACGCCGGCAAAGTCCACCTAAATCTAATAAACATTAAAAAAAAGTCTGCGCCCGCCCGACACGCTGCCCTAGACGTCGTCGGCCTTGCTCTTGCCCTTGCCGTTGACGCCGCCGTCGTCGATGAGGTCGATGAAGACCGGAGCAGGGCCAGCCCATCCGAATGCCACCTGGTACGCTTCCTCCGGCGTCTGCTGGGGCGGCGGCATTGCGGCAAGCCCCGCGCGCGCGCTCCTCCTCCTCCTCCTCGAGCCGGAGCGCCTCCGCGTCGCATTGGAGCATGGCGTCGTAGCGCATCTGCTCCTCGCCGTCGGCCTGCTCCTGGCGGAGCCAGTGCTCCTTCCATCGCTCGAGGTGGGCCGCCTCCTCCTCCGGCGTCGCGACGAAGTGGACGGGAGGCGCGCTCACCCACTTGCAGTACTGACCCGTCCACGAGTAGGCCTCCTCCGGCCAAGTGGGTGGAGGCGGGCAGCGCTTACGCGTCGGCTCCGGCTCCGGCTCCGGCTTGGGCTGGACGGGCGGCGACGGTGGCGGTGGCGGCACGAAGAGCGGGGTGTGGACAGAGTCCACCGCTGCCGACAGGGCAAGGGCTTGCTCCAGCTCATCCCAGTGCGCGTCCTCCTCGAGGCGGCTAGCCTCCAGCGCGTGCTGCAGGGCCTCCTCGAGGGCGTCATGGTACTCCGCCTCCGCCTCCATGTCCTCTGGCTCTACCTGCGGGGGCTGCGGTGGGAACGGCGGCGGGACGGCGTCGACACCCGAGCACCGTTGCTCCTCGTGTTCGAGGGCGAACCACGCCTCCCAGTTGGGGGAGTCGGCGACGTACTCTGGCGGCCGACGCTGCTCTGGCGTGAGCTGCGCGCGGCGCCTGCGCACCTCGTCGTCGTGCGCCCGTTGTGTACGAGGAACTGCCAGCACCGGGATCCGCTGTGGATCCAGATGCCAATGGTGCGGCAGCGTGACATCGGGTATGACAATGGCTGCTTGTACTCCCAGTGCCACCGCGCTTGGTGCACCGGGATGTGCAGGCGCCGGCGACCAGGGCGAAAACGCGTCGCCGTCGGAGGAGGAGAAGGGGGAAGGGGAGCACGGGAGGACGAGGCGCCGGGGGTGCCTTTGCCCTTGCCATTGCTGCTGTCGAAGAGGCCCATGGGTAGGGTTTGCGGTCGCCGGCGAGGAAGCAAAGAGAGTGGTGGGGGGAGGGCAGATGTGGACGAGAAAAGTGGATGAGGCTGACCCCGCCGTACGCGTGGTTAAGAAAGGACGCTTCCACTGGCTGACGCGTGGGCCCGCTGTCGATGGTCGTCATAATTTAGACGACCGGTGGCGATTGGGTGGCCGCCAAGTGGGGACGCGGCGGACGGCGAGGAGACGCGCGGCGCGTCCGCGCCGACGCATTCCAGACGTAATTTTGGGCCGGAAATGGGTCGGCGCGGACGCGAGGCGAACACGATTTGAGTTTGGGTCGGCACGTTGAACCGCCACTTTTGTCCGCGCCGACCCAAACGAACGCAGACGGACGAAATGGGTCACCCGTTAAAGTTGCTCTAAGAGCATCTCCAATAAATAATAGATAATGTAAATTTGAAGATGTAAAAATTTACATCTCTAAAAAAGGCAACTCTCACCAATAATATATATTAAAGATATAAAAAGGTAACTAATAGATGATGTAAAAGTGAAGATGTAAAACCGGCAGCCGGTCGCCCGGCCCACGGCAGCTGCTCAACAGTAGCACAACAACAAGAACATATGTTTCGAACAGAACTTAAAATATAAATTTCAGAAAATTTTGGACATAAACAACAGCTTATCAAATCGACGACGACCAAAACAATAACTAATTGGTGGTAACCCACAAAACTATCAATGAATATCAATAAAAAATATGTACATCATGAACTTCTGTGTGACATTCGGATATTTAAGCTACAATAACCCTCTGCTAATGATGCCACGTCACCTCGATTACTGTTGCTAATCTCACGTTAGTTTAAAACTGATTTAAATTCAAATTCAAAATCAAGCAAACATTTTTTTTCAAATATTAAAACTAAAATGTTCGGAGTGAACCAAATATTACATAGGTAATTAGGATGGAGAGACCACATTATTATAAAATAATTAAATGCTCTTGAATAAATAAAACAGCAGCAAAAACATTTAGTTAAATACCTTTTATACTTTATAAAATTTTAAACTAATTTATTTTGGGGTTTAAACTTTTGTGGCCATGGTGTAATTCATAAAACTAATTTAGGTACTAATAATATATTTTACAAAACTAAAATAAATTGATGAATGTAATAAAATAGAAAAGAAATAAAAAAACAAATAAAAAGGCAAAGGTCACCCCCTTTTCCCACAGAGCCCGGCGCTGCCTCTTGGCCCAGTCGGCTCCGTCAGACCAGGCCGGCCCAAACGGCCACCACTCACTCCCCTTATCCCCAACCCGACCGACACCCACAACCCCCCACTCCACCTCGCTCTCTCCCCCCTCTACCTCGAATCTGGATCGAGATCGGGGCGCCCATCGCTCGGTGTCGAAGCCTCTCGCCGGCACCCCTCGTCTTCGACCCCGTCGCCCTTCGCTCGGGCCGACCGCGTCGCCCACCGCCCACCGCCT